GCAGGTGGTGTCGGAGAGAAGGCTTTGGATTCTTTGACCATGGGATGGTGTTCCAAGAAGAAGGAGTGCTAGGCAGAGACGGACTCCACCTAACAAAGAGAGGGAAGAGCATCTTCGCAAGCAGGCTGGCTAACCTAGTGAGGAGGGCTTTAAACTAGGTTCACCGGGGGAAGGAGACCAAAGCCCTGAGGTAAGTGGGGAAGTGGGATACCGGGAGGAAGCACAAGCAGGAGAGCGCAAGAGAGGAGGACTCCTGCCTCACACTGAGAAAGCCGGACGATCAGCGAGTTATCTGAAGTGCCTATACACAAATGCAAGAAGCCTGGGAAACAAGCAGGGAGAACTGGAAGTCCTGGCACAGTCAAGGAATTATGATGTGATTGGAATAACACAGACTTGGTGGGATAACTCACATGACTGATATTCTATGATTCCCCTGCGTGAGTGTCTTGATTTTTTTGGGGCGGCTAAAAAAAATCCTCCCTTGATTGCCAGCAGGAAGAGTGGGGCCAGCTGGAGACCCCAAGCCGCTGGAGCAGCCTGGCTCTCCCCCTAGGGGGACTCATCCCTTTCCTATTTGGCATCACATGCCTTACAGCTTAAGGGGCCATTAGATCCTCGTGGCCGCCCCCCTGCCTAGCACAGGCTGGTAAGTTTCTCCCAGGGACCCTGTTCGCTCTGCCCCACGTGCGCCTTGCCATGGGCATTGGCGCCAGCACTGGCTGTGGTGCTAGCAGCCGGTAACCCAGGCTACTGTTGGCACAGCGCTTTGGAGAGGCCAGGGGCTGGGGGCCTTGGTTACAAAGCAGCCCAGGAGTTCTGCAGTGCCCACCCTGGCGGGGGGCATTTCTGGAGCTGCCAGCAGGGCTTGTGTAAGGTTCACTGATCTATCCCTCCGCCCCATCCCCTCAGCCTCACGTTTGGATACCAAATCCTGGTTACCCAGGAGCTTTCCTCTTCAGGGGATCAGACCAGCCCCTGGTTCAGGCTGGTGTGATCCTCCTAGGCTCCAACCACCCCAGCCCGGCTCTGGATGCTAGTCCCAGCTGCACAGCAAAGGATGGCTCAGAGAGGGGAGATGGAGAGTGGGTTGTGCCCCAGGCAGGGAAAGGGGGCTGCAGGGACACCCTGGCCAACCACCCTGTGCTGCTGGACAGGGCAGCACTTAGGGACAATGGGTAAATAGGCAGGCCTGGCTGTGGAGCGGCTGGGAGGCCGGGGCAGGGAGAGGAGAGACTGCCCCGTATGCTGAAAAGGAAGTAATTCCTCCTCCCTCCCTGAGGATCTCTAAGCACCTTGCAGCTTTAAGGGATGAACAGTGGGATGTCTTGCATCTGAAGAAGTGAGGTTCTTACCCACGAAAGCTTATGCTCCCAATACTTCTGTTAGTCTTAAAGGTGCCACGGGACCCTCTGTTACTTTTTAGTGGGATGTAGGTTAGTTTGAACCCTTTCTTGGAGAGGGGGAAGCTCTGACAGCAACAGCTGGAGCGACTTGGCCAGGTTCACCAAGCAAGTCCATGGAGGAGCCATGAATAGAACCCAGGAGTCCTGACACCCTCTTCTAACCAGCAATCCATACTCCACAGGTAGAACCCAGGAGTCCTGGCTCGATTCCCTGAATTCTGTTCTAACCAGTCGCTGCTACTCCTCTCCTAAGGTAGGTTTTCTATTCCTGGGATCATCCTAGTCACCCTTCTCAACACCTGTTCCAGTTTGAATTCATCTTTCTCAAACATGGGAGACCAGAACTGCGCACACTGTTCCAGATCCTTTCCTCGGAGAAGACTGTGCTGGGATTTCAAGGAACACGGTCGCTTGCTTTTATTTTTTAACAAGGGTTTTCATACAGGAGCATTTTTTTCAGGATCCATTTGCCTTTGATGAATCTCTTCCCTGCCAGAGGGGAGACGGACTCATTCTGGGCCTGCATGAAGAACAGGGGCTGCGGGGCTGCAAACGTTGCTGCCAAATTTCTTGGTAAAAGTTCAAGTCTCTGCGAGGGCTTGTCTATGGGGTGAGTAATTCCAGAACAGAATCCATTTGGCACTCTTATTCTGGTTTAAGGGCGTCCTCACATGGAGTTAACCAGGAATAGTTAATCCGCTTTCAATTCAGACCCGTCCTCATTCCAGATTAGCTTTTGTGTGTAGACAAGCCCTGATGCTCAGAGATGCTTGCATCCAACTCCTAGAAATGCTGGCACCTTCCAAATGGCTGGTTAGGGACAGCCTCCAGGAAGGATGGTCCAGTGGTTAGGGAGATAGCCTAGGAGATCTGGGTTTAATTTCTGGTTCTCCCACTGGCCCTGTGTGACCTTATGTTTTCCTGGCCTAGGTCCTCAAAGTAAGTTAGGCTCCTAACGGCCTTTGAAATCAGTAGAATTTAGGAGCCTCAATTTGAGGATGGGGGCCTGAGTTCACACTGCGGTGTGCAGCGGTGGAGAACTGGGCGCCCCGGAGCTATGCTGGTCCCGCTGAGGAGCTGGCCCTGAATCCCAGCAGAGCAAAGGGAATCGGGGCTCTTCCGTGGTAGGCCTGAGAAGGCGTTTTATTTCCAGTTAGAACCACTGTGTCCAGACCAGCATCGGGAGAACAACCCTGCCTGCCCCGAACTGCTGCGTTTGCTAGCAGGCTGCAAAGCACCAGAGATGCTACCTCTCCCCGGTGCATTGACAGCCCGGGGGCAGGGACATAGGTGGGACTGGCACAGGGCGAGGGCTGCTGGATTCGCTCAGCCTGGGGAGGTTAGATCCGCAAGCTGCGGTGTCAGGGAAGACAGCGTCCTTGTGCCATGCACCACACCCGCTCTGCATTGCAACACGCCAGCATCAGGGAGAATGGCAGTGTGTCACGCACGGTGCCCTCACGCCGCATTGCTGCTTTGCCAGGCTGCGCTGGGGGGTTCATTGCGGGCAAGAGATGTATGGTTAACACCCAATTAAACCACAGAGCAGGTACAGCCCAGGTAAGCAGCACAGCAAACTTCCCCTCCCTGGCCCCCACTGCCCTGCTCATGGGCCTTGGCCTTGAGGCAGAGGTACACTGGGGTGGGGGGGTTAGTATGCAAGACCTCTGGGCTGCTGGCAAGGGGTCCGGTTAGTACCAGCCCTGCTGGTGGGTTGGTGTGACGGGGGCTTGTGTTGTGCTGTGTGACGGGGACTGGGCTGAGACCCACTGACTCGTCTCACAGATGCCACCCAGCAGGCAGCCGATGAGAACAGCTGTGAGTCACTCCCAGCCCCAGGCAGGATGGGCCCCGGTGCCTGGGGGGGTGGCTGTGTGTGCCCTCCCCAGGCTGGGTGGGAGGTAACCCCCTAAGGGAAACCTCCTGAGGCTGCATGGGCGTTACTCCTACAGCTAGACTGCCTAGCGCGTCTCCAGGCCTGCCGGCCCCTGGGGTGTCTGTGTCGCTGCCCCACGGGGGCCGAGGCAGAGGAGTCGGGGCAAGTTGTGGGGTTCAGGGGCGGTGGCTGTCGCCTGACACTGCACGGCTGGAAGAGGATTTGAACACAACGTCCTTTTGCTCCCGGATCCTCTTCGTTCTGGCTCAGGAAGAAGAGACAAGCAGAAATGGTAAGGTAACCCCCAAATCCTATAGGGGCTGTGTGCCCGTTCCACCCCCATAGCAACCCCAAATCTTATAGGGGCTATGCACCTACTCCCCCCATAGTGACCCCAATTCCCCAGGGACTATGTGCCCGCTC